CGAGATACAATTTTAGCGAATTGTGGTAAAATGACGTAATAGCAAAATGTTGATTTAGCGAATCTCCCTTCTCTTTGTTGATTTCGTTGCTGCGTTACATCCAGAATATTGACCTTTCATATTGGGACTCAAAAATACTAATTACTAATTTCTGTAATAATGTATTAGGATCACTTCATTTATGTTATTGTTATAATAATAATTCAATAAAGTGTATTTATCATGTCAATGTATTTTCTGTGTGTTGTTTACAAAGTGTGTGTGGAGAAAAATATGTTGTTTGGCAGCCATTTTGAATTTATAATAACGTCATTAGTGACATCTTAAATCGGGTCTATCCCTAAATTCGCAAAAAAGACGCATTTTGTGACAGTAAAATACAAATTGAGTACAGTAATCTGTCTGAATATGGTATAAACTACAAACAAGCTGAAATTATTGACGAAATTTTGGAGTTTTTATGAAAAGCAAAGCCAGCTTGGTTAAAGTTATTGCAGAGAGGTCATCAACTGTGCATACAGGGTAATTAAAGCGGGAGGGTCGTCACCTACGTATGCACAGGAATAGAGTCCCAAGTGATGATAACAACGCATGCTAAAACCAAAGGCTCATGGGTAGACGCTTGTTTGCAAACAATGACACGCTATGGTCATCTGACGCATGCGTAGGTGACGACTCGCCCGCTTTAAGTACTAAGCGACAATAGCAATGAAAAGGCTCATCGGTAGCTGCGTGTTTATAAACAGCGACATGTATGACCGGCTACCGAATGCATAGGTGACGAATCCCCTGCTTTAAGTTACGCTAGGAATGTACTGTATTTAGCCAACAAATAGTGTGCCCCTAGAGGGCGCTCATACCAGAAAACCTCAACACAGAACCCACCCTGAAATAAAACTCATAAATAAGTAAAATTTAAAATTAAATATAAAATAAAATCGCTTACATTTATATTTATATAAAGAATGTCTACAAATTTAGAAATATCTAGATACATGTAGACTAAATACTGTGGAATACTTTATTTTCGCTGGAATTAATTTTCGCTGAAAAGGCTTTTTGGGAGTTTTGCTTGGGATTTATTTTCACTGATTTTTGATGAGTTTAATGTGAAATATAGGAAAAAAAAGTATATTCTGGATTTTATTTTCACGGAATCATACCTTCAGCGAAAATAGCGAAAATAAATTCCAAGCGAAAATAAAGTATTCTACAGTAGGCCAATTACAATATATTAGTCTACCAGTCTATTATGAAATAAGCAGAATTAGTTTATACTAAATTTTCCTACATTTGGCACAATTATATTAAAAATTAGATAAATAATTTAAGCAGAGATAATTAAAAATTTAGTGAAATATTCTACAAAACTCTATCACTTCAATAATCATCGTCCTCATCATCATAATCATTCTGATCAGTGTCATCGTCTTGATCATTATCATCATCATAATCACTATCCTGATCATTATTATCCTGATTTATTTCATCCTGATTAATTTCATTATTTTCATCTTGATCACTATCATAATCATCTTGATCACTATCAGTGCCTTGATCATCAATTAGAGTTGTATCACTTTGATTACTATCAGCACCATCATGATTAATTTGATTAGTTTCATCATCATTATCAATATCATCACCAATTGGATCATCATTTGTATTAGTATCATCATTATCAAAATCACCCTGATCATTATTTGTATTAGTATCATCATTATCAAAATCACCCTGATCATCAGAATCATCACCTTCATTAGCATAATCATCATCTGCGTCATCAATCCCTTGAAGCAAATCGTTGACTTCATCATCATGTTTTTTTAAATGGCTGTTTAATTGTCTCTTGAATGTGAAATTCTGATCGCATAAATCACACTCATATGGTTTCACACCAGAATGTATTTTTGCATGTCTTGACGCAGAGCTTTGATTACGGAAATATTTTCCACACCATTCACATGAGAATGGTTTCTCACCAGTGTGAATCCTCATGTGGTTAGTCAGTGTGATTTTCTTTGAGAATGCTTTCTGACACACCATGCACACAAAAGGCTTGTCTCCAGTGTGTGTCGCTTGATGAAACTTAAGATGGCTGACACTTCTGAAGCTTTTCCCACAGAGTACACAATGGTAGGGTTTTTCACCAGTATGTGTTCTAAAGTGTTCTTTTAGATGACTTTTCTTCATATAGGTACGTCCACAAAGTTCACATTGGTATGGCCGCTCTCCTGTGTGTACACGCATATGGATTGTCAGGTCGCTGACGGTGTAATACGCCTTTCCACACTGCCCACACATGTGCTTTGTTCCATTCTCTTTGCGGGCAGTCCTTTTAATCCCTGCATGCATCCGTTCATGGCTCCGCAAATGGCTGGACGTTGTGAAACACCTACCGCAGAGCTCACACTGATAAGGTTTCTCACCAGTATGTGTTCGCATATGCACTGTCAGTCCCAGAGCACGTGTGAAACCCTTACCGCACTGATCGCATTGGTGTGCTCTTTGTCCTCCATGAGATATCATGTGTTCACGTAGGTGGTTCTTAAGCCTGAATGTCTTGGAACATTTTTCGCACATGTACGGTTTTTCCCCAGTGTGTATCCTCATATGCTCCGAGAGATGACTTCTGGTGAAGTATCTCTTCTCGCAGAGTTCACACTGGAATGGTTTCTCACCAGTATGAAATCGCATATGTACTTTCAAATCGCTCTGAATCACAAAACCTTTATTGCATACTTCGCATTTTAACGGCAAATCAACCGTATTTGTGTGCTTTTTCATATGTCGGTTAAGAGAGCCTTTATCACGGCAACGATAATCACAGTGTTCACATTTACTTTTTAAATTCTTTTTAACGTCCACAAAACCTTCTTGATGAACAACTATGTGACTTTTAAGATGACTCTTGGTAAAATACGCTTTATCACAAATCTCGCACTTGAATTGTTTTTCACCAGTGTGAAATCGATAATGCATTTCCAAGTTACTTCTACAGTCAAATCCTTTTCCGCATTGACCGCATTTAAATGGAATGTCTTCCTCACACGTGTGTTTCACCATATGTCTTCGAAGCGAACTTTTATCATTGCATTTGTAGTCGCAATGTTCACATCTAATCGGATCTAGGTGCACTTTCCTTGCCGTACTAAACTACTTTCTGCTTTGAATAATTTTCCGCAATCCTCGCATTTATGTTCTTCTATAGCTGGCGCTGTTTTGCGTCCACTTCTCGTCCGATGCCTCTTTGTTTTTTTTTTTCAACGTTACATCGCCATGGAAGAGCATGTGAGTGCTAAGAATACTTTTATTAGAAAATCTTTTATCACACAATGAACAATTGTATGGTTTCTCTTCGGAATGACTTTTCATGTGTTTTTTTAAAGTAGCCAAAGATGACAAGATACATTTACATGTATCACATTGGAACTGATCAATTTTTACCTCAGAGCCCTTCTTATCGACATGTTTTTTCATGTGCCGTTTCAAAGTGAACTTATCTGCGTAGTTTTTATCACAGTGTTTACAATCATATGGCCGTTCACCTGTGTGTATTGATCCAATATGTCGCTCAAGTTGATTAGGTCTCACGAATTTTTTCCCACAATATTGACATGACAGCGTTGCTTTATAGATTCGCTTTGCATTTTTAGTAGGTGGGTCCTGAACATATTCCATCGGTTCTTCTTTTATGTCCTGTCCGACCCAGACAAATATTGGTGGAGGTTCTTGCACAGTTGATGACCCTTCATCATCATCACTGACACCTTGTGCATTTGAACTTGTTTCAGTTACATTTCCAGCATCTTCATCTTGACCTTGAACTACCTGACCACTCATCTTTTCTGCTTCCAGCAACTCTTCATTTCCTACTTTCTTCTCAGACAGG